TTTGTAACTCCCTTCGTGGGTCAACACCCAGATCAAAAAAAGGGAGCATGGGAGCTTGATTTGCATAGAGAATGTCTAGAATGAGGGAGTATTGGAGGATAAGGGGGAACATAATTGTGTTAGGAGACAAACCCCACCATTGGTAATTAAAATGACTATGAGATTTGACCTATTTTCCCACACTCCAAAACTCTCCATGGTGTCAGGGTGCAACCCCTGGGAATAACACTATCTCCTCATAGAGGGCCCTAGAATTTCCCACTTTTAATAGCCTTTTAGATTTAGCCTTTAATAGCTTAATTGATTTCAATAGCCCTAAAAAGGAAGGAGAACCAGATTTTATATTGACAGTTTCAAAAATTCAAAAAACACACATATTTAATTCATTTTTTAAAAGTATATATGTTTGAGGTGGCCTGGAGTAGTAGATAGCAAGTTAGCCTCAAAGCCACAAAAAATGGGTTCAAGTTCTTCTGACACAAAGCTGGCTGTGTGATGCTGGACAAATGCTTGAACCAATTATTGCTTGAGCAGACAATTTTCTAACATTCCAGGTTTCAGTGAAGGGGCTCTTCTGCATTCTTATATCAAGGAGTTCTCTCTATGAGTGAAATCATAGGTCTGGTTCCTGTCCCTATTCCTCAAAACATTTTGGGCAATGTGGTACAGCAGACAAAGTGTTGCATTTGAAATCAAGAAGATGTATATTCAAATTTTATCACTAACTGTATGACCATGTCTAGCGCTTAACCTCTGATCTCAACACAATTATCTATGATGTTAAGTTATAAGGGGTTGTAATTATATCCATACTGAAAAATTAAAGTATTTCTTTTCTTTTTTTCAGAACAGAAAATAATATGAACTACGCCTGAATTTCTAATTCTCTTAATTCTGTTAGGCACATTTAACAGAGGCAGAGAGATAAGTGGTTCAATATCATTCTTGTTCCCGCCCCCCCTTAATAGTTCAGAGATTCCAAGAATGAATATATGTGAGAAATCTCCAGACCTGTTTTCCTCCAGATTATTGCTGCTCTTAAAAAAAGAGATATAAGTACAATTTTGTTGACATGAGATAGGGCTACATCCAGGAGATTCATCTAAAGAATTAACAAGGGGGAAAGGGTACTAAAGACATCTGAGAGTTCACATCAATGTTTATTTTAGTTATATCTCTGGGCTTAGTACCCACTAAAAATATTGAAATAGACTTGATCAATATCACACATCAAGGCAATGCTCCTGGTATATCTTAAGCATAAGAAATGGAAATGTGGGGGAACCCAGAGTACTGTAAAGTAACTCATAAAACCATCATCTGTTTCTTGATATGATCACATGTAAGCATTAGACAATTTTCAAAACCTGTCATAGTTAAATCCAATGAATAGTAATAATGATGATGATGGCCCACAGTACAGTGTTTTAAGGCTTACAAAAGAGTTTTGACCTATATTATCTCAGATGAGCTTCACAGCAGCATGTGGCACAATGGATACAATATTGAATTTGGAATCAGGAAGCCCTGAATACCAACCAGCCTCAAACACTTACTAGTTGTGGTACCTTGGCCAAGTTACTTAACTTTGCCTCAGTTACCTGATCTATAAAACAATGATAATAATAACACCTACCACCCAGGGTTGTTGTGAGTATATAATGAGATAGCATTTGTAACGTGTTTTGCAAACCTTAAGGTACTATATAAATTATAGCTATTGTTATTGATGAGAAAACAAACCAAGAGAAGTTAAGTGATTTTCCCAAGGTCACACAACTAGCGAGTATCTAAGGAAGAATTTGAACTCAGATCTTCCTGACTCCAAGTACAGGGCCCTGTCCATTATGCTTTCCTTCCAAATAGTGGAGACCAGTGTCTGAAAGGCTTTATATTGAACATAAGATGAATAGAAAATACTACATTTCTCTTTTAAAAAAGGCACATGGATACCTCGTTAATTGGACTCTCACAGGATGCAAGCTGTGGCCTTTTAATAAGTTAGACATTTATAAAAATCTAAATTAACTCATGGCTAGAGGGTATGGTTTAATATTTTCAGCATGTACATATATTTCCTCAAGGAATTAAAAGACATCAGTATTTATAGAGTGCCCATTCTATAAAGGATGCTGTATAAACCATAGCCTATGTCAAGTTTTTTTTTCCCTAACCTGTTATTTTAGGGCTGACAAGATAAAATTATTGTTGATTTTTAAAAACAAATTGCAGTTAGATTCAAAGAATAGGATTGTAAAATTCTTGTAATTCCATGTGATTTTTATTTACAATAGGGCAGTATAAACATATCCCCAGTAGGGGATGAAGACATACACTTTAGTAGATATTATTGGATCCCATCAAAACACTAATCTAATCACTCCTTATATTAGAAAGTCAGAATATGAGATGATATAAGGCCCATAAAGATAACATTGACTACTATTCTGAGTAGTCAATGGGCTCAGAGGAACCTTATGTCATAGGATAACTATTGGGATGATGGGATCATAAGATCATAGATTTTGAGATGGAAGGGATCTTAAAGGCAATCAGTCCAACAGTCTTAATTAATGAGGAAACTAAACCCCAGAGAGGTGAAATGATTTAAAGTCCTCATGAAGAAGCATCTGGTCAGTGTGATGTTATGTGTAACAATAAAATTTTGTCTTTAGTTGATGTTGGGTTCAGCAGTCTGGCACTGAACAGTTTTAATAGCCAATGATGCCTATCCTCTCTACCAATGCTGCAATCATTATTAAGAAAAGCAGGTAATGGCTCTTAGGATGGTTTAGCCATCATGTGGGTACCTTTGACTGCCCATAGCCTTGTGATTGAAGGATCCCTTTGCTCTTCACCTGGGCATTGTTTCTCCTTTTAGAAATGCCAAGATTGCATTTCAAAGAACATGCTCTTATTTTTTTTTAATGTGACTGACAACTGCTCAAAGGTAAAAAAAAAGCAACTTTCAAGGGAGTATTTGTCAGGGCTGAGACTATTTCCTCCTCAACATTCAGCAGCCAGGCTTGCAAATGATACAGTATCTCTTAAGAGGTTTACCTAGTCACACATTGTTAAAATGTAGATAAAATAAATAAAATGGAATTTGGATTCACGGGGCGCCTACTTTTAATAGCTTTTCCTCCTGGACATGCAACTAATATGAACTTTGTCCAAATGGCAGATTTTCAGGAGGCTGAAGAAAGTGACAGCTGTTTTCTAGTGCTGTTTGCTACTCATCTGGCTTAAAATTTGAGAGTCAAGGGGCAAGTCTGGTACCAGTGGATTATGGGTTAAGAAGGGATTCATGAATTATGGAATGGCTGGGACAGTTATTGGTACTTAGAGACATTGTGCCTCTTCTTGATTACCAATAGAAATGATGTTCCAGAGGAATGTTGCAACAAAAACAACAAAACAACCTGCCACTTCAGACAGGGCAGCTTTGGGTTCACTGAGAGGTCATGTGATTCAAAGATCCATGTGGAAGGGAATTGTAGTTGCCTTATTATGGGTTACTTTTGATAATGGTGAAGATTAAAAATAGGAACTTACAATGGAGACTTTGTTTTAGAAGCATTACTAGAAACAAGAGAGGCAGTGTGACATAATGAATAGAGAGAGCCCTTCTTAAAACTAGGAATTCTGCTTCTGACCCAGGGTAGTTGTGAGACCCTGGGAAAATTGTCTTACTTCTCTCTGACCTATATAACACCCTAAGATTATTGGTTGTGGAGAATATACCAACATGTATTGGTAGACAATATTTCCTCACCAAGGAATTGTTTATTCCAATAAAATCAGAGATCCAGGCCCTATCCCTAATAGTACCATCAGATCATAGATTTGGAGGGGAGGAAACCTCAGTGTACATCTGTCCAAGAAGTGCTAAACATGAGGCAGGCAAGTCACATAATGACTGCAACCAGATTAAAATATAATTGGGAAATATTTAACAAAATAAATAAAAACACAACAGAACATAAATAATATTAATATATGGTTTTCTAAGTCATTATGTGGCCTGCAGTGATCTTTGACTGTGGCTTAGTGACCCCGGTTCCTGTTTGATTGACACCACTGATGTAATATAACCACTTGATTTTGGATGGGGAACCTGACGCTTAGAGGTTAAGTTTTTGTTCAAGGTCATACAAGTATTAAAAAGTGGAGATAGCATTCTGATCCATGTCCTCTGACTTAAAGTTCAGTCTTTTTTAAACAATCCATTCTCTGTTAAGTAAGGGCTAATGAGATCAGAAAATAAAGTAGGTAGTTAAATAATTGAATTATATTGTAATGATATCTACAGTGTTGTTGTTTTAGGTTTCTATGGGGAAATGATATAACAGGAGAAAATGTAATAAAAACTTCCTTAGTCACAACATGGAGCTTAGGTAACCCTGAAGCATCCTGGGGCTTTGGGCCTCAACATAAGAAATTTAAAAGAACTTAAGGGTTTTTGATTCTCTCAGTGTGAGTTCTTCCTCTACTGACACATCACAAGACCTCTAGTCCTTGATAGACAGTGATAAGACTATGATTTTCAGGTGGAAAGAGTTTTGAGAAAGAACCTAGTCAAGATACCTCTTTGGACAGAAGAGGAAACTTTAAGTCCAGGCTTGATTAAGTTCACATGGAAAGTAAATGCCCAGGCTGGATTTTGAACCCTCATCCTCTGACTCTGAATAAAGTCTTCTTTCCACAATATCATGCATCTTTTATTAGTTATGGTGGTTGTGGAAAACCATACTACCTAGTGACCAGTCTTCTGGTGGCAACCCTCTCTGAGTATAGTTAAACATGTTATAGTCTTCCATATTCCCATAGGAGATTGTAAGCTCCTTGATGCCAGGTTCTTTTTCCTTTGTATCCTTTGGGTTTATTGTAGACCCTGGTTAATAGAAGGTATTTTATTACACTGAATATTAAGGTTTTTTGTTGTGAGAATTGATACCTGTAACTTCTTCTGTATTTCCTTCCCTCTATACTCAGTGCTGCTGTGATAATAGGAAGCATCTAACAGGTAATAACAGTTAAAATTTTTATAAAGTATCTGGTATGCATTGTGGAATTAGATCACATGCTGCTGTTTTGCTGTTGTTCAGTCATTTTAATTGTGTCAACTCTTTGTGACCCCGTGTGGGGTTTTGTTCGTAGATACACTGAAGTGGTTTACCATTTCTTTCCATTATGAGTCCTCTGGAGTTGTCTTGGATCATTGCATTGCTAAGAACAGCTAAGTCTATCAAAGTTAGTCATCACGCATTGTGGCTGTTACTGTGTACAACGTTCTCTTGGTTCTACTCACTTCACTCAGCATCAGTTCATTCAAGTATTTCCAGGTTTTTCTGAACTCTGTCTGCTCATCAACATAGTATTCCATTACATTCATATACCACAACTTGTTCAACCATTCCCCAAGTGATGGGCATCCGCTCAATTTCCAATTCTTTGCCACCACAAATAGAGCTACTATTGTATATGTGGGTCCTTTTTTCCATTTGTATGATCTCTTTGGGATACAGACCTAGAAGTGGTATTGCTGGGTCAGAGGGTATGCACAAATTTGTAGTCCTTTGGGCATAGTTCCAAATAGATTTCCAGAATGGTTGGATCAGTTCACAACTCCACCAACAATGCACTAGTGTTCCAATTTTCCCACATCTTCTCTAGCACTTATCATTTTTCTGTTTTGTCATGTTAGCCAACCTGATAGGTGTGATGTAGTACCTCAGAGTTTTTTTGATTTGTATTTCTCTAATCAAAAGTGATTTAGAGCATTTTTTTATATGACTATAAGTAGCTTTAACTTCTTCCTTTGAAAACTGCCTGTTCATATCCTTTAACCATATATCAATTGGGGAATGACTTGTATTCTTATAAATTTGACTCAGTTCTCTATATATTTTAGAAATGAGGCCTTTATCAGAGACACTGGTTACAAAAATTATTTTCCACTTTTGTTTCCCTCCTAATCATAGTTGCTTTGGCTTTGTTTGTGCAAAAACTTTTGAATTTAATGTAACAAAATCATTCATTTTGCATTTCATAATGTTCTCTATCTTTTGTTTGGTCATAAATCCTTCTGTTCACTATAAATCTGACAGGTAAACTATTCTTTGCTCTCCCACCTTGCTTATAGTATCAGCCTTTATATCTAAATCATGTACCCATTTTTACTTTATTTTGGTGTAGGGTGTAAGATGTTGGTCTATACCTAATTTCTGCCACACTATTTTCCAATTTTCCTAGGAATTTTTGATAAATAGTGAGTTCTTATCCCAGAAACTGGAGTCTTTGGGTTTACCAAACAGTAGATTACTATAGTCATTGACTACTGTGTCTCGCATACCTAACCTATTCCACTGATCCAAAACTCCATTTCTTAGCCAGTACCAAGTAGTTTTGATGATTGCTCCTTTATAATACAGTTTAAGGGTATGGCTAGGCCACCTTCCTTAGCATTTCTTTTCATTAATTCTCTTTTTACTTTGGAACTTTTGTTCTTCCAGATGAATTTTGTTATTTTTTTTGAGTTCTATAAATCTTTTTTGGTAGTTTGATTGATATGGCACTGAATAAGTAATTTAATTTAGATAGAGTTGTCATTTTTATTATATTAGGTCAGCCTATCCATGAGCAACTAATGTTTTCATAATTATTTAGGTGTGACTTTATTTGAGTGAAAAGTGTTTTGTAATTGTGTTCATACGGTTTTGGGGTTTGTTTTGGCAGGTAGACTGCCCAATATTTTATAATGTGCACAGTAACTTTAAATGGAATTTCTCTTTCTGTCTCTTGCTGTTGGGGTTTGTTGGTCAAATAAAGAAATGCTGATGATTTGTGTGGGTTTATTTTTTATCCTGCAACTTTACTAAAATAATTTCTTTCTCCAGCTCTTTTTACAAATGAGGAAACTGAGGCAAACAGGGTTGAATGACTTGTTCAGGGTGACAGAGCTGATAAGTGTCTGAGGCTGGATTTGAACTTGGGAAGTTGAGTCTTCCTGATTTAAAGCCAAATACTCTATCCACTGTGCCACCTAACTGACCCCAAAATCAGTGTGAAGGAAGTATTATTATGCCCATATATAGATGACGAAATGGATGCTCAGAGAGGTAAGTGACTTTCCCAAGGTTACACAGCTCTTTAAATGCCTGAATGAGCATTCAGATTTAGGTCTTCCTAACTTCATATCCAGAATTCTTTCTACCACAGCACAGTGACACTCCACAAATATTTTTTGACTGATTATTGGATCAACTTCCTGGACAGTAAAAGAGGAGTTCACATTAAAAGTTGTGGAAAAGAATTTCAATACAAAATAGGAGGGTGAAAGAGGACATAAGGAAAGGAAAAAAAAAAAAGATAGACAATCCAGAGCACTGTAATGATCTATATTATGTCAAACACAAGGTAGAGATAGATACTTTGAGTTGAGATAGTCCCCAAGGCTGGTTAAAAAAAAGAACAAGCCAACAAACAAAACATATTTTCTTCCATGTAATGAATTACACAAATGAATGTCAGTATAATTTTATACAGCAGCATCTATTAGGAAACACAAAGATTCAACAATGACATTCTTTGACTTCCAGAGATAAAATATATTGATTATTCCAATATTGTTTCATACTCAAACCAATTTCATGCCTTCAGAATGGTCTGATTTAATTATTAATGTTCTTTCCTATTTTAGTTTTAGTGCCATAATAATGGCAACAGTAAAAGACCTGGATGAAAGACAAAACTGAAATACTTTTGGCTTCCAACTCAAAGAATAATTGGGTGAAACATTTGCAACTTGAGATAGATGAGATCCATCTAAGATCTAAGAATCAGTCTCATTTGATAGTACTTTAACTCTTTGTTTCCAATTAGTAAACTGACGATCATTGGAAAAGAAAAAGTACTGCTTCTGGCCAACAAGTAGTTTGTTCGTGACACTTAGGCTAGCTAATGTAAGGAAGCTTAGGTCAGTGATGGTGCAATGGATAATCCTGAACTTAAAGTTAGGAAGGTTTGAGTTTAAATTCTGTTATCAGACACAGTAGTTTTGTGACCCTGGGCAAATTATTTAACCTCACTGAGCCTTAGTTTCCCACTTTTAAAATGAAGTGATTGCATTCAATGACCTTTAAGAGCCCTTCCAGCTATAAAATTATGATTCTATGTATCTGCTTTGCTTTATGTTGAGAAATGATTATATAAAAAGACACTTAAGATTAAGAGCATGCTATACAGATTCTGTTCTCTAGGCCAACCCTGAGTTAGTTCAGCAAATATTCAGCTGAAAAAAAAAATTTAAGTCACCTACTCTACATGGTACTGTCAGGCACTGCGGCTATAGAAATGGAAACAAAATCTCCCTGGGAAAATTTGAAATGGAAGATCTTTTGTTAGGTCGTTTAATGTTTTGAGGATAGAAGGGCAGCAAGAAATAGTGAACAGAGAGCAGGCGTTGGCATCAGGAAGACACAAGTTGAATTCCCACCTTAGGTAGTAACTAATGATATGATCCAGGGCAAATCACTTAAACTTTCACTGTGCCAAGTAATCCTCTAACTTTCAGAACACTTCCTTACCTGCATTCATGGAGTTTCTTCTCTTTTTCCAAGGAAACAACAACACTAACACTAACAACAACAACAACAACAACAGTAACACTAGCTTTTATTCAGCACTTTAAGATTCTCAAAGTGCCTTACAAACGATATTTTTTTTTAATCCTTACAACAACTCTAGAAGGTGAGCGCTATTATTAGTTCTGTCTTATAGATGAGGAAGCTGAGGTAGACAGGTGTTAAGCAACTTGCCCAGGATCACACAACCAGTAACTATCTCAATCTGAATTTGAACTCAGTTCTTCTTGACTTCAAGTACACACTTTATCCATTATACCATATAGCTTCCTGAAATCATAATTCTGTTCCTCCCTCCATCTCCAAAGTAGAAATTTAAATGCAGAGTTCCAGGAAAATTGTTGCAGGGATGATTTTTCTAGGTCTTTTAATATTCAGTGAATAATAATAATTGTTAATTATCTAGCCCTTTGAAGTTTGCCATAAATGTCACATATATTATCTTATTTGAGGTAGATAATTCAGGTACTATTAGCTTCATTCTACAGATGAAAAAACTGAAGCTTAGAAAAATTAAGTGACTTGCCCATGGTGACACATATAATAAAGTAATTGGAGCAAGATTTGAATTCAGGTCTTCCCAATTCTTTTTTGTAGAGTTTATTTATTTATCTTTAGTTTTCAACATTCACTTCCATATGATTTTGAGTTCCAAATTTTCTCCTCACCTCTCCCCTCCTCTCTCCCCAAGACAATATGCAACTTGATCTAGGTTCTACAAAAATGTTCATGTTGAATCTATTTTCACATGAGTTATGTTGTAAAGAAGAATTAGAATCAATGGAAGAAACCACAAGGAAGAAGAAACAAACAAAAGAAAACAAAAAAAAAAGAGAGAGGGCAAATTATATGCTTCCATCTGCATTCAGATTCCATAGTTCTTTTTCTGGATGTGGACTGCATTTTCCATCATGAGTTCTTTGGAGTTGTCTTGTATCTTTGCATTGTTAAGAAGAGATGAGTCTGTCAAAGTTAGTCATCGCACATTGTGGCTGTTACTGTGTACAATATTCTCCTGGTTTTACTCACTTCACTCAGCATCAGTTAGTTCAAGTATTTCTAGGTTTTTTTTCTGAAGTCTGCTTTCTCATTATTTCTTATAGCACAATAGTATTCCCTTATATTCATATACCCCAACTTGTTCAGCCATTTCCCAACTGATGGGCATCCCCTCAATTTCCAATTCTTTGAAACCACAAAAAGAGATGGTATAAATATATTTGTACATGTGGGTCTTTTTCCATTTGTATGATTTCTTTGGGATGTTTTGTCATGTTAGCTAGTCTGTTAGGTGTGATGTGGTACCTTAGAGTTGTTTTGATTTGCATTTCTCTAATCAATAGTGATTTAGAGCATTTTTTCATATGACAATAGATAGCTTTAATTTCTTCCTCTGAAAACTGCCTGTTCATAGCCAGGATTTAATGGGTCAATTTAGCTTTTTTTCATCCTACCTTTGCAGGATTGATAGAGTTTGGCCAGCATTCACCTTAGAATCCTCTCTCCATTTCCTGACTCTCTAGTGGCTTCATTCCAACATGGCCTTTGACCATTTGTCCTTTCTGACTGATTTTTCTATCCTTTTTCTATGCACCATTTTGAGAAGCTATTCATTTTATTCATTCATTCATTCTATAAGTACTTACAAAACACCTACTAAATGCCTAGGATTACGATGAGTACTGTTCAGTCATTCAGTCATGTCTGACTTTTTGTCACCCTATTTACCATAGCATACCAGATCCTTCTATCCTCCATTATCTCCCATAGTCTTTTCAAGCTCATGCTGAGCATGACACTATCAATCTATTTCATCCTCTACCATCTCCTTTTTCTTTTGCTTTCAATCTTTCCCAACATCAGAGTCTTCTCCAACAAGTACTATCTGCTCATTATGTGGCCAAATTATTTAAGCTTCAGCTTCAATATTTGACCTTCCAGCAAATAGTCCGAACTGATTTCTTTTAAGTATTGACTGATGTGATCTCCTTGCAGTCCTAGGGGCTCTCAAAAGTCTCTAGCATTACAATTTGAAAGTACCAATTTTGTGGTGCTCAGCTTTCCTTATAGTTCAACTCTGACAACCTCACTGTGTCACACTTTCACATTGCTACTGAAAAAAAAATATAGCTTTGACTATACGAATCTTTGTAGGCAAGGGGATGTCTCTAGTTGTCCAGATTTATCATATTTTTCTTCCAAGGAGCAAGTATCTTTTAATTTCATGACTTCAGTCATCATCTGCAGTGGTTGATGAGGCTAAGATTGTAAAATTTGACACTACTTCCATTTCTTATTCCTCTATTTGCCAGGAAGTGGTGGGGCTAGTTGGCAAGATTTTTTTTATGTTAAGCTTCAAGTTAGCTTTTACACTCTCCTTTTTTTAGCTTCATTGAGAGGATTCTTAATTCTTCATTTTCTGCCATCAGAGTGATATCATCTGTGCATCTTAGATTGTTGACATATCTCCTGGCAATCTCAATTCCAGCTTTTAATCCATCCAGCCTGGCATTTTTCATAATGTCCTCCACATGTAAGTTAAATAAATTAGGTGACAGTATCCAGCCTTGTCTTACTCCTTTTCCAATCTTAAACATACTGGTTGTTTTATGTTTGATTCTAACTGTTGCTTCTTGACCCACATAGATTCCTCACAAGACAAGTAAGATTATCTTGTACTCCCATGTCTTTGAGGACTCACCACATTTTATTTTGTTCCACACAAAGGCTTTAGTGTAGTCAATGAAGCAGAAGTAGATGTCCCCCCCACCCCCGAACTTCCTATTTTCTCCATAATCTAACAAATGTTGGAATTAGGCAGAGGAACTAGAGACCAAATTGCCAATATTCACAGGATTCTGGAGAAAGCAAGAGAGTTTCATAAAAATAACAATAACAACAACAACCCAACAACAAACTATACTAGGTAAACAAAGACAAAAAACTACAAAAAACAAAAACCAAAAAAAACTGAACGTTATGTAGCCTGCAATGCTTTACCTTCTATTGGGTAGAAGAGAAAGTAAACAACATACGCAGGTGTCAAAATAAAACAAATACACAGAAAAGGCAATTAATAGTAGTAGTATTAGCACCTAAGTAGATCCGGAATGTCCTTCTGTTAGGTTAGCCCTTGAAATGAGTCTTGAAAGGATATTATAACTGCAAGAGGTGAAGGTGGAAAAGTAAGTGGGATGCTTAGGAAGTAAATAGATGGAAGGTCACTTACTGGAAATAGCAAGTATAACAGGTTGTCTTGAACATTATGTATATGAGGTAAAGTAATATGAAATCAGCCTGAAAAAAATACATTATGAGAATACTCCAAACCTTTTAAATATCACATATAGGGTTTGTATTTTACCTTAGAAGCAATAAAAGCAAATCATCCTGAAACTCTATGATTAAATATGGAATCCTTATCATTCTTGAAATGATGAGTTTGTCCAGACCCATAGAAGTGTCCAAATATTTTCATATGATCTTCCAAACAATACCATTAGGTAGGTGCTATTATTATTCCCATTTTACATATGAGGAAACTGAGAAAGAAGTTAAATGATTTGTACAGGATAATACTGTTGGTAAATATCTGAGGCTTGATTTGACTTCAGATCTTCCTGATTTCAGGTGCAGATTTCTTTCTACTGTGCCACCTAGCTGTTATATCCATGTGGTTTTCAGTATTAGTACTGACAGAAGACTAGAGCATTATAGTTATATATGTAATAGCCTTAAGGAGCATTTAGGCCAGAGATTCTTAGCCTTGAATCTTTGAACTCAAAAAAATATATTGGGGAAGTTAGGTGGCACAATGAATAGAGAGAGCTCAGGCCTTGAAGTCAGTAGTTCAAATCAGGCCTCAGACACTTGACACTTACTAGCTCTGTGACCCTGGGCAAGTCACTAAGCCCTGATTACCTCACCAAAAACAAAAATATAACTATTTTATCACAATTGTTTTTCTTTATAATATTATATTTTTTAATTTACATATTTAAAAAACATTACTCTGAGAAGGGTCCATCAACCTTCACTAAATTGTCAAAGGGGTCTATGACAGAAAAAAAAAGGGTTAAGAACTTCTGGTTTAGACCAACTCCCTACTTTTGTCCAGTCATCCTGGATTACTTCATGAGTAAACCTAGAAAGCTGTATCCCTTATGGAGCATCAAATAATGTAGTTGTGGGGCAGCTCAGTGGCACAGTGGATAGAGCACCAGCCCTGAAGTCAAGAGGACCTGAGTTCAAATCTGACTTCAAACACTTGACCCTTACTAGCTGTGTGACCCTGGGCAAGTTACTTAATCCCAATTGCCAAAAAAAAAAATAATGTAGTTGCCAAAAAGAAGTGGTGTGTATGTGTGTATGTTTGTGTGTGGTGGTGTATTTGCCACACAGCTAGGGAAGATGATTGCCATGGGATACGAATGGGGAAATGTATAAGTAGCTAAGTGGAGCCACAAGCCTTAGCCCCACTATATGTCAGAATAGTTCCCCATATGTATCATTAGAGAATTTTGAGATGCAGCCAGTATAGTCACAGGAGTCATAGAGTAGGGTGGTGTTTTCATACAGACTTAATAGCAATTTCTCCCTTCTGAATCTTCATGTTCAGTCAACCACTGAGTATTGAGCACATGGGAGAGCCAGTTGTAGTTATCTCAACCTTATATGCATATAAATTCTTTCTTTCATTCTAATCGTGTGACCAATCCACTGTCTATGGACATGTTTGTCTTTGATAATATTTTGATAACATTATTCATGTAGTTTTTCTTGTATACTTATTATTATTGGCTGATAATGTTGGTAATAATGGTATTCTGCTCATGCCCACCATGTGTCTTTTAATTATTTTTGCATGATCCTCAGATTTAATTCTTCAGACATTGCTAAATTATGATGCAATCATTGCAACATTATCATGATGCATCATCATACAACATTAAAAGAATATTAAAAATTAAAAGAAAGTCTTATATTTTATTATTCTTATTAGTATTGGCACTGATAATTTTAAGAACAATGTTTTGCCTTCTAAGTTACAATTCACCATGCAAATATTGTAAGGTATTATTTTCATTGTACAATAACTTGCTGATTTCTGATCATAAGTAGCCTCTCTAGATGGGATAATTATAGCCCACATTTGAAAACATTTGAAAAACACATTTGTAAAATACTTAAATGTATTATTTAATTTGGTCTTCACAAAAATCCTATAAAATAGATGTTCATATGATTCTCATTTTAGAATAGAAGAAAATGAGGGTCAGGGAGTTTGGGTGATTTAAGGTCACCCAGTTAGTTAATAGCAGATATAGGATTTGAACCCAGGTGTTCCTGACTTAAGTCCACTATTCTTGCAACTATGTCATGTTATTTCTATGCACCATGAAGTCTAGAATACAGCTGCAGGAATGCAGCTGTTAAAAGAGAGAGGATAGAAGCAGCCAGAGTAAACAGCCAAGAAAACAAGAAAGTACTCAAGGTTCAGACTTCAAAAACAAAGCAAAACAAACAAAAAAACTACATTCTTGTGCAGCTCCAGATCAAACTCAAATCAGGATATCATATCCATTCCATGACTAACTCCATCAATACAAGTACAATGAACAGGACAATTTTTTAGAAGGATGAGCCTCTGTGATATATTGGGAATGCCTCAGGACTACCACAAGAGGTAATGAGGAACATAAATTAAGGTTCTCACTCTATGCTTGTTGTGTTTCAGTATTTATGTCTTGGTCCCTTGCTTTGACTCAGGCTCACAATTGGCCTCTCTTTAGGTAGCATCTTGGTGCGAGGCCATTCACCTCACAGTGTGTTATCTTCTGAAAGGAAACATTGAAACTGTGTGCCCAACTGGAGTGGCATTTGCTGAAGGAGGAATGCCTCTTAAATCTCAGGACAAGTGCAACTGCTCATTTGAGGAGAGCTCTTTCCCCTCCATCCTCCAAGATGATGTGTTTCAGGTAATTTATTACTACTTACAGCAGCTAACTCACTACTCAACCTGCCCCCCTCCTTCCCTTGCCTTTTTGAGGGTGAATCTAGCCCAGCATGAGGGAGATCTGATATGCAGGGACTGAAGTCTTAATTACAGACTCACTGTATGGAGCCATGTGAGACGGTGGCCTCACTGTGAAGCATTCTGTTTTGTCAATAAGCTTACATCAATAGTTGGCAGGCATTTCTGCTGCTTTAATGTTTTGGAATATAGAGCAGACATAGCTGCTAATATCAAATTGGAACGACTTTGCATTTGCAATTGACAAATCCCATTTTAGAAATATGCATGAACATGAGGATCAGATGGAGCTTTTAACATTTAATTTTTTTTTCCAGTAGGGAGGTCTTTGATCCGATCCTAATTTATCTGTTGTTGATTTCCTGAATCTTTCCTAATCCCTCACATCAGAGATGGTCTCTCCATCAGAGAAGCAATTAACAAAATCCCTGACTGGAGTACATGAGGCATCTGTTATAAAAGTATAAAAGGTTAACCAAAATCCCAACACACAGAGGATATGTCAGCTGAGGACAAATTAGCAGAAAGCTTTCCTTGCAGGCACTTCAAGGTTAAGGTGGAGCATATGTATGATAAAAAGGTTGTTTTGGAGAATGACAATTTGTTTTTCTGGCTGAGAAGTTTAGAGAGTTTGGGGAGGGGAGGCAGCATGATGGCTCAAAAACCATTCATGCTTGAGTAATTTTATCTGGCAAAGTAAAACCAATGCTCTTTCACTCCATCTACCTCAAAATTCAAACAAAAAAAAATAACAATGATCTATTTCTATTTCATAAAATTATTTTAGGGTCTTTAGAAAAGAAAAAATGGGAGAATAAAATTTAGTAATCATATAACTATGTTCAGCAATAGCTTAATTCATTGACAACTTGGACTTGGAAAAATGAATAGCGATGGGGCCTTTTCTATTCATTACTTTAAAGACACACAGTAGCTGTGTCTACAGTAGGCTGCAGTATCTTACTGCAGTAATTTTGACTTATTGTGGAAGAGTGGTAGAAGAGATCATCAAAGATATTGACAGTTGCATGACATAATGGATATAGAGCCGCACCCGGGACCAAGAAGACTTGAATTCAAATCTAGCCTCTTATACTTACTACTTTTGTGATCCTAGTCTTAATCTCCACTCAACCTCCTTCAACCTCAGTTTCCTCAAGTGTAAAATAAGATTACTAATAGCAACCACCTCCCAGGGTTTTTTTTTTTGGCACATATGAGATAATATATGTAAAGTACTTTTAAATCATTAAAGCATTGTATAAATGCTATTATTACTACTAGCATTAGTCAAAAAGAGGGTGTGGGATTAAAAAAGAGGGATGCAAGATTATAAGACTGACAACATGAGTATTAAACTCATAGTCAAGAAATATTTTAAGATCCAAGCATGGATTTTGCCTTGTTGAATAATCCCTTTATGAAGGGTCAGAGAAGATTTACAGAGAATGATGAATTGGTGGGAGGAATATCCTCACTGAAGAGATTGTGAATTCAGTGAACTATCAAATTTATATGGTAAAGGTGGTGAGGTAAAGGTAAGGATTCAGCTGAGCTCTCCGAAATTCAAATAACACCTTAAAATGAATTCTGGAGAAACCTAACACATAAAAGTCTGGGATGGAAAAAAAACATTCCATCCAAAGACATCTTAGAAGGTCAGGAGGAAAAGTCTGTCAATTGGGGTGAGTGAAGTACAGCGACAAGCCAGTAGCAGGCTTTAGGAGTGACCCTTTCCTGGTACTGGGTGTAAGATTCTGTTTCATTGCCTATACACAGTCCGTAGTCACAATCCCAGGGTGAGGAAGAGCAATAATACATTACAGCATGTGGTTGCAGAGGAATAGGGACCTTGGTTACAGTTTAGGAAGGAAAAGAATGTTTATGGTTGCTCATAGACAAGAGCACAGGACAGGGCAGCAGTGACCACACCTCTCCTTAGATCATACCACCTTGGAAGAATTGCAAACTTACAGACCCACAGAACCAGCTCGGAAAGCAGCAGCACAAAATATAACAAAACAAAACAAAAACAAACTTTGAAGGTTGGGGCAGTTCCCCCTCTACCCTGGGAGCAGAGCCTAACTTTAACAAAAGTTAAAAGTGAAGAAATAGGCTAGAAAATGAGCAAAACAAATAAAGAAAACAATTTGAGCATACAAAATTATTAGTGTTACAAGGAAGGTAAAAAAAAATCAGAAGATAACAATATCACACAGCTATATCCAAAGATTCAAAGAAAAAAAATTGTGAATTGATTTCAGACTCAAAAAGAATTCCTGGAAGAACTCAAAAAAGATTTTAAAAATCAAATAAGAGAGGTAGAGAAAACATTGGGAAATAAATAAGCATGATGCAAGAAAATGATGGAAAAAGAGTCAACAGTTGATTAAGGAAGCACAAAAAATACTGAAGAAAATAACACCTTAAAAAACAGAATAGGCCAAATAGTAAAAGAGTCACAAAAATTTACTGAAGAAAAGAATGCCTTAAAAAGTAGAAATTAGCCACTTACAAAAGGAGATACAAAAGCTCACTGAAAAAAAAAATTCCTTAGAAATTAAAATTGGGTAATTGTAAGCTAATGACTTTAAAATTGAAGAGATGTAATTTAAAAATTATTGGACTACCTGAAAGCCATGATAAAAAAAAAAAAGAGCCTGGACATCATCAAGGAAAATTGCCCTGATATTCTAGAACCAGAAAGTAAAATAGAAATCGAAAGAATCCACTTCCTAAAGAGATTCTAAAATCAAAACTCCCATGAATATTATAGCCAAATTCTAGAACTGCCAGATCAAGGAGAAAATATTGCAAGCAGCAGAATGAAATAATTTGAATACTGTGGTGCTACAATCAGAACAACACAAGATTTAGCAACTTTTCTGTTCAAAAAAATCAGAAGGTTTGGAATGTGATATTGTGGAAGTCAAAAGAGCAAGGATTACAACCAGGAATCACCCATGAAGCAAAACTCAGTATAATCCTTCAAGGGGGAAAATAAATATTTAACAAAAAAGAGAACTTTCAGGAATTCCTGATGATGAGACCAGAGCTGAATAGGAGACTTGACTTTAAAATAAGTAACTCAAGTGAAGCACAGAAAGGTAAACAGGAAAGAGAAATCATAAGGGATTCAATAAGGTTAAATTGTTTGCATTCCTGTATGGGAAGATAATGCTTGTAACTCCAAACATATTTTTTTTATCATTATTAGGCAGCTAAATGAAGTATACATAGGCAGGTGTGAGTTGACTAGGATGGGATGATATCTAAAAAATAGAATAAAATTAAGGGTTCAGAAAGAGTGATGGACAGGGAGAAAAGGGAATGGAGAGTTAAAATGAGGTAAATTATTTCACATAAAAGAGGTACAAAAGAGTGTTTACAATGGAGGGGAAGATGAGGGAGGTGGTGGACTATACTTAAACCTTACTCTTATTAGAGCTGGCTCAAAGAAGGAATAATGTTCATACTCAGTTGGGTATAGAACAACTATCTTACCCTACAGAGAAGTAGGTGCGGAAGCAGATAATAGAATGGGGTCCAACTGGGGGAAGTGGTGTTCAGAAACAAAACAATTTTGACAGAGAAAGAGAGAGAGACAGAGAGAGACGGAGAGAGAGACAGAGAGAGAGAAGGGGGAAGGATAAAAGGAGAAAAATAGGATGGAGGGAAATACACAGTTAAAATCATAGATGTCAAAAAATCTTTTACAGCGGAACTTCCACTTCCAGGAGCCAAGATGGCGGAGTGAAAAGATAGTCCCTCTCACTCTCCCCTATCAACCTCTGAAAACCCAGAAAATATCACCCCAGAAGAAAACCCTGGAACAGCTGACCTAGAAGGAAGACTGGGAGCAACAGTGCAGCAGCCCAGCAAACAGGTCTCCCAGTGCCTTAGCAAAAATAAGGGAGGCAGAACAACAAGGGGCCCCAGGCAGATAAGTATCCTGCAGCATTCATCTGAAAGGAGGTCGAGAAAACCACCTAAAGGCTTCCTAAAGCCCAGGCCTTGCTGATTCCAAACCAACACTAGGTGAGCTGTCAGAGCCCTGCAGCCTCCAATTATGAAGAAATCCTGAAGCCCATGTGGCAGAGCAGGCAAACACCAACACCTGGACCTCCAAGTGCCTCAGTGAGGGCAGGAGGAACTGGTGGAAACCAGCTCAGAAAACCACCAGGTTCCTCGGCACTCTACTGCAAAGGAATCTCCTGGTGCATTAGCAGAAACGAGGGAGACAACACTGCAGGAGGCCCCAGGCAGATAAACATCCTGCAGCACCCATCTAAAAGGAGAGGAAGAAAGCTAAAGGAAAGGAAAAGCATGCAACCTAGAACTGCCTGAAAGTTCCAGCCTTGCTGATTCCAGCCCAACACTAGGTAAGCTGCCAGAAACCTATAGCCTCCAACTGCCAGCATAAGAGGCCCCAGAACGCAAAGCCAGTGACCAAGACCTAGGCTCCCAACACAAGAAGCTTGGGTCAGTACCCTCAGTTCCCCAGCAGGAGAGCTCAGTCTCTTTAAAGGTCAGGGAATAAAGAAACACCATGAGTAAAAAGAAACATACCATAGATTCATATTATGAGAAGAGTGAAGATCAAGACAGAAACTCTGAAGAGGACAACATTGTCAATAAACCCACATCTGCAACAACAAAAGGGAATATGAACTGGTCTGAAGCCCAAAAAGCCTTCTTAGAAGAGCTCAAGAAGGATTTTAATCGTCAAATGAGAGAGGTAGAAGAGTCCTTCAAAAATACAATTGGCCAATTGGAAAAAAAATACACTGAAGAAAACAAGTCCTTAAAAAACACAATTGGCCAATTGAAGACGGAAGGACAAAAACTAACAGAAGAGTACACTGAAGAAAACAAGTCCCTGAAAAACACAGGAAGGATAAAAACTAACAGAAGAGTACACTGAAGAAAACAAGTCCCTGAAAAACACAGGAAGGATAAAAACTAACAGAAGAGTACACTGAAGAAAACAAGTCCCTAAAAAACACAATTGGCCAGTTGAAGAAGGAAGTACAAAAACTAGCAGAAGAAAACAATCCGTTAAAAACTAGAATTGGACAAATGGAAACCAATGTCTCTATGAGAGAACAAGAATCAGTCAAACAGAAACAAAAAAATGAAAAAACAGATGAAAATGTAAAATACCTTATTGGTAAAGCAACCAACCTGGAAAATCGATCAGGAGAGACAATTTAAAAATTATTGGACTACCTGAAAAACATGATGAAGAAAAGAGCCTGGACAGTATCTTTCAGGAAATCATAAAGGGAAATTGCCTGGAAGTCCTAGAACTAGAAGGGAAAATAACCATAGAAAGAATCCATTACTAAACATATATGCACCAAATGGTATAGCATCCAAATTCTTACAGGAGAAGTACAGGAAGTTACAGGAAGAAATAGACAGCAAAACTATACTAGTGGGGGACCTGAACCTTCCCCTTTCTGAACTAGGGTAAATCTAACCACAAAATAAACAAGAAAGAAGTTAAGGAGGTGAATAGAACATTAGAAGAGTTAGGTATGATAGACCTCTGGAGTAAACTGAATGGGGATAAAAAGGAATATACTTTTTTCTCATCAGTACATGGCACATACACAAAAAATGACCATGTACTAGGGCATAAAAACCTCACAATCCAATGCAGAAAAAGCAGAAATATTAAATGCATCCTTTTCAGATCATGACACAATAAAAATTATATGTAATAAAGGGCCATGGAAAGATAAGACTAAAATAATTGGAAACTAAATAATCTAATGCTAAAAAATGATTGGGTCAAACAACAAATCATAGAAACAATCAATAATTTCATTCAAGAGAATGACAATAATGAGACAACATACCAAAACCTATGGGATGCAGCGAAAGCAGTTCTTAGGGGAAGTTTTATATCTCTAAATGCTTACATAAATAAAATAGAAAAGAGATTAATGAATTGGGCATACAACTAAAAAACTAGAAAAAGAACAACTTAAAAATCCTCAACTAAACACCAAATTAGAAATATTGAAAACCAAAGGAAAAATTAATAAAATTGAAATTAAGAAAACTATTGAACTAATAAATAAAACTAAGAGCTGGTTTTATGAAAAAACCAATAAAATAGATAAGCCTTTGGTTAATTTAATTAAAAAAAGAAAGAAGAAAACCAAATTACTAGTATCAAGAATGAAAAGGGTGAAGCTACCACCAAGGAAGAGGAAATTAAAACAATAATTAGGAATTATTTTGCCCAACTATATGCCAACAAATTTGACAATCTTAGTGAAATGGATACATATTTACAAAAATATAAATTGCCCAGATTAACCGAAGAGGAAGTAAAATACTTAAATAACCCCATCTCAGAAAAAGAAATTGAACAAGCCATTGATGAACTCCCTAGGAAAAAATCTCCAGGGCCAGATGGAAATACATGCAATTCTATCAAACATTTAAAGAACAATTAATTCCAATACTATATAGACTATTTGGGAAAATAGGTGAAGAAGGAGTCTTACCAATTTCTTTTTATGATACAAATATTGTGTCAGAAACCAGGAAGAGTCAAAATAGAGAAAGAAAATTTCTCTAATGAATATAGATGCAAAAATTTTAAACAAAATACTAGCAAGTAGATTGCAGCAACTTATCACAAGAATAATACACTATGACCAGGTAGGATTTATACCAGGAATGCAGGGCTGGTTCAATATTAGGAAAACTCTCAGCATCATTGAGCATATCAACACCAAAACAAACAGAAACCACATGATCATCTCAATAGATGCAGAAAAAGCTTTTGATAAAATACAACACCCATTCCTATTAAAAACACTAGAAAGCATAGGTATAAATGGAGTCTTCCTTAAAATAATAAATAGCATTATCTAAAACCTTCAGCAAGCATTATATGTAATGGGGACAGGCTAGAAGCATTTCCAATAAGATCGGGGGTGAAACAAGGATGTCCATTATCACCACTGTTATTCAATATTGTACTGGAAACCTTAGCTTTAGCAATAAGAGAAGAAAAAGAAATTGAAGGCATTAGAATAGGCAAAGAAGAAACAAAGCTATCACTCTTTGCAGATGACATGATGATATACTTAGAGAATCCTAGAGAATCGTAAAAAACTTTGAAATAATAAACAACTTTAGCAAAGTTGCAGGCTATAAAATAAACCCACATAAATCATCAGCATTTCTATATATTACAACAAAGCCCAACAGCAAGAGATAGAAAGAGAAATCCCATTTAAACTTACTGTAGACATTATAAAATATTTAGGAGTCTACCTCCTGAAACAAACCCAGGAACTCTATGAACACAATTACAAAACACTTTTCACACAAATAAAATCAGATCTAAATAATTGGAAAAACATCAGTTGCTCATGGGTAGGCCAGCTAATATAATAAAAATGACAATCCTACCTAAGCTAATTTACTTATTCAGTGCCATACCAATCAAACTACCAAGAAATTATTTTATAGAGTTAGAAAAAATAATAACAAGATTCATTTGGAAAAACAAAAGTCCAGAATATCAAAGGAACTAATGAAAAGAAATGCAGGGGAAGGTGGCCTAGCAATTCCAGATCTTAAATTGTATTATAAAGCAGCAATCATCAAAACTGCTTGGTACTGGCTAAGAAATAGGGAGGTGGATCAGTGGAATAGGTTAAATATGCAAGACAGTAGTCAATGACTATAGTAATCTATTATTTGATAAACCCAAAGACCCCAGCTTCTGGGATAAGAACCCACTCTTTGAAAAAAACTGCTGGGAAAACTGGAAAAGAGTATGGCAGAAACTAGGCATAGACCCAAATCTCACACCATATACCAAAATAAAGTCAAAATGGGTTCATGACTTAGATATAAAGGCTGATACCATAAGTAAACTGGGAGAACAAGGAATAGTTTACCTATCAGATCTATGGAGAACAGAAGAATTCATGACCAAACAGGAGATAGAGAACATTATGAAAAGCAAAATGGATTTTTGATTACATTAAATTGAAAAGTTTTTGCACAAACAAAGCCAATGCAACTAAGATTAGAAGGAAGGTAGAAAATTGGGAAAGAATTTTTACAACCAGTCTCTCTGATAAAGGCCTCATTTCTAAAATATATAGAGAATTAAGACAAATTTATAAGAACACAAGCCATTCCCCAATTGATAAATGGTCAAAGGATATGAACAGACAGTTCTCAGATGAAGAAATTAAAGCCATCTATAGTCATATGAAAAAATGCTCTAAATCTTATTGATTAGAGAAATGCAAATCAAAACAACTCTGAGGTACCACATCACACCTATCAGATTGGCCAACATGACAAAACAGGAAAATGATAAATGTTGGAGAGATGTGGGAAAATTGGAACACTAATACATTGTTGGTGGAGTTGTGAAATGATCCAACCATTTTGGAGAACAATTTGGAACTATGCCCAAAGGGCTACAAAAATGTGCATACCCTTTGATCCAGCAATAGCACTTCTAGGGCTATATCCCAAAGAGATCAAACAAATGGGAAAAGGACTCATATGTACAAAATATTCATAGCAGCTCTTTTTGTGGTGGCAAAGAATTGGAAATTGAGAGGATGCCCATCAATTGGGGAATGGCTGAGCAAGTTGTGGTATATGAATGTAATGGAATACTATTGTGCTATAAGAAATGATGAACAGGCTGACTTCAGAAAAACCTGGAAAGACTTATATGGTCTGATGCTGAGTGAAGTGAACAGAAC